AGCTGGATGGCATGTGTCCTTAACAAGAGATTGAGGGATCGATCCACTCCGATGGGTATTTGTTTTTTGAACCCATAATCACCCCTTTACCATAATGGCCCCGTTGTTTTTATTTTATTTTAAAAATGGGTGGCGTATGAGGGGCTCCAAACCTTGGCCATGTGGCCTATAGCCTTATTATTTACATAAATGTACAACCTACTCGTTCTCACCCCTAGGGCGAGTTCAAGTCGTCTGGGGTGAGCCACGTATAAACACTGATTTCCTCTCTCCAAGTCATCCAGCCTCGCTGGCCCACCATCCTATGGACCACAATTTTGCATAGAACCGTCACCAAATTTCATATACACCAACTTTCCTATGCATTTTTGTTACAGTTTTATGCCCAATTTTCGAACTATTACCACACACTGTGCTCGGTGTACCACTCGCATTAAATGTACATGCTTACTCCGTGTATCACTCTCGTCGAATGTACATGCTTACATTGTCAATACAAAAGAGTTATTTATCAAAAAAGGAAAAATGTTAAAAGAAATGAGTTTTGAATTCTATTCATTACTTGAAACCTCCTTTCGGAATCCAAGAAGTTGATCTTGAGCATTGGGATACAAAGCTTGACAGTGAAGTGCCACATGGTTTGAGCACCATTTTATTCTCTATATGGAGGGGTACACTGTTCACTTGAAGAGTTACATCTGTTATTTTTGGTTCTATTAGAAATTATTTGGTAAACGTGACAAATTAAAGTGGTTTTTTGATATGATCAAGGAGGTGTCACATGGTTTCTTTTGTGAACCCACGATTATATACAATTCTGTTATAATCTGTTACCATGTTGCATGGTAAGGGAAGCCCGTATGTATGAATTTGTAATCTTTTTGTTGTGACTGTTTAAGTGTTTCCTAATTTTGGTTACCCTCCATATTTCTTTTGTGTGCAACATTTCATTCTTATTTATATGGTAAAATCCTACATTGACAGCTTACAGACCGGACATCACTTGGACTCCCTTCAAGATCACTTCCCCTGGAGGCTATACAATTTTATACAGATTTATACATGAGAAGATGTTTCCGAACTTCTGTACTTCCTTTTAAGCCCCATATACTCATATTTCTCGGTGATCATTTTGATGGGGGCCCACACTTGTCAGATGAAGAGTAAGGCATGAAAAGATTGACCAATTTACTTCTTTATGTTTCTGTTAATATATTCTATGCAGAATACTGTGGAATGTGTCCAAAAGTGCAACATAATTGTATATCTGTCGAAACTTTACTTGCTGTCCTCACATTTGTGTATTCGTTTTGTGGTTTCTTATATGACTACTTGGATGGCTGTGGAGTAATATTTCTGGCAACTCTTATACTCCTTGATTAATGAGATCGATTTTTTTGCTTAGTGGAGTAACGAGATTGCAGCTAAACAAAAATATGTTGGTTGGTCCAATTTACCTCTTGTGTTCTTGATTTCACATGAAGAACGTGGTGGGAATTGATTTTGGATGTGACTTCTCAGTGATTCAAATTTAGGGCTTCATGCGCCATGTGGTTTATCCTATGATTTATTTTATCTTTATAGATCGTTTGAAGGCTTAATCCTAATACATGAGGCTTTGGAAAAAACCTTTAGGCACATGAGATTTAGTGGTGAAAAGCCAGAGCATCTGAGATGCAACTTTAAAATCAGAACCATACGAGATTTGGAATACGAAAACATCAAACTATGTCATTCAAAATTCTATAAGTTGAAAGGACTGATATGATAGGAAACAGAATATTGGTTTATGGTTCAAATCATTACTTGTGCCTTAATCCTGAAATCTTAGAGTTTATTTCATACAATTTTACCATGTTCTGGAAGAATATGGAGTGGCATGTTATTGATATTATTAATTGTATGGTTGACTCTATCTCATTCTTAATTGTAAACTAGTCACTGCCATTATCCATACCATTTCAAAAAATGCTCTGAATTCCTTTAGGAACATATTACTTATAGAGATTCATACCTAGAATGCTAAATGCTAATAAATCATTTGAAACTAGTCTTTGCACTTTTGGCATTTAGCATTCTAGGTATGATTCTCTAGCCGACGCCATCTCATAGTATTGTTGGGGGGTCGACTACAAAAATATGCATGCTGGGGTTCTCCAGAGTATTTAAAGATATCTAGCAAGTTCTTGTATGATTTATCTCCTCACTTGAGACTCCCCAATACACTAAGAGTTATCACACTCATTATTAATGACGGTGGACATCATCACTTTACTATTTAAATAATGATTTTTTTTACTGATATTCAACCTTCTATACTTGGTGTAAGAGATATACAATTATTGAAAAAATAGAAACCAGATGAAGAATCTCTGCATAAGTATTTGAAATTGGGGGTAAGAATCCAAAACTGTGGATTTTCTTATCTATAAAAACTGTTTCTCTTGGTGACAATGTTTTTTATGTTGCAGTTGAGGGCAGGTGAAAACAATAGAGGGTCTGCTAATACTCTTTTGGCATTGAATAAGCGTGTGCATTGGGTTCTTTCCAATTGTGCCTGGAATATGCTTTTATATTGGAGCATAGGTTCTGTATTTGATAAAAAATTTGATCAAATTTCCAAGGTTTGCGGTTGATTTGTTTGCCTAGGCAATTATGTTGGTGAGTCTCCTTTGCTAAGCAGGTTGTTGCTCAAGTTATGATCACTATATCAAAGTTTAACTAGTAGAGGGAATGCTTCTGCCTGAATGGCATTGGACAGACCTGCTGGTCCATAATAGGTGAGCAAAATCTGCTTGTGGTGGTTATGGAACAGCCTGCCCACCCCTGCTGTGTGGGTTTCCCTTGAACTGTCATCAGAATTCAACCTGATGACCCCCAAATCACGTGGTAGCTAGTATGAGGAGGTCGGAATCTCTTTTACTTGACTCCAATTGCATGCTTCCAATTTTTAGTCCAGATCTGTTGCTGCGTATCCATTAAACTGCTCCCTTCACGTCACCCATGATCTGCATTTTGGTTTTTTCAAAGAGTTTGCCATGTTGAGCTTCTATGCTTTGGGAAGATTGATGAATTTGTTCTAGCCAAAGGCACCAGATGATGGCTTTTACATAGTTTGAGAGCTGGAGAGTGGATCGTTGCTTGTTAGGATTACCCTAGTTTGGGAGCATCATGGGAGTGTCTTTTATATGAGAATGGGCGACCTTATATCATTATCATCATCATCATCATTTTAGCCATTTCCCAATTAATTGGGGTCGGCTACATGAATCCTGGTTCTCCATTCTGCTCTATTAATGGGTGACATTATATATGTTTACAAAAATCGCACGAGATGTGGGTGCTGGGAGTGTCCCTACAATAAATATATCAAAGAGTAGAAATTTTTTAGGAAATAAAAAGGAACCAGATGATGGCTCTTACATAGTTTGGGAGCTAGAGAGTGGATTGTTGCTTATTAGGGGTATCCTGGTTTTGGAGCACAATGGGGTTGTCTTTTTCTTTGAGAAAGGGTGACATTATATTAAATTCTATGTATGTGCTTACAAAAATCTCATGAGATGTTGGTGTTAAGAGTGTCCCTACCATAAATATATCAAAGAGAAGATTTTTTTTTTTTTAAATAAAAGTTTGAGAAAAATTTTCTAAATATATTTGGATGCAAAATTAATATTTTTAGAGATATATTTATTGCTTGCTTATTTTTATTTACTCGAGTCTTCTCGTTTATGCGTCCTTCGTGATAATCTAGTAAAGATTTTATTTGATCTTATATTGTGATTATAATAAAAAGGATTTTATTTTGTTAAATCATATACTAGGCGTGCCTTTTTTCCCCAGACTCCCATATCATTTCAATTAGAAAAAGAAGTCTACAGAATGCAGTAGAGAGAACTGGTGAAATAGCCTGGGTGAAAGTGTTTGATGGATCCTGGTCATACCCACATTATGTTGAATACTTGGAGAATGGTGAACCAAATGGTAATGGCAAATTTGCAATGGATACAAATGATTAATTGACTTCTTTGCCATCTTAAGCATAATGTCCGAACTGGGAATGCTATGGTGTTGGATTTGGTCAATTGGTAATACATCTGTTGAAGATTCCCAACCAGTTGAAGGCTTGGACATTGGGGGTTGATGGGGTAGGCATGCACGAAGGACACTTGGTAAACTAAGACATGGGATGGTAAGCATTTTATAGAAAGAAGAAAATGAGAACTTGCTTGATCCTCCAAGGCCAGAAACAATTTGCAATTTCCTTTTTGTGGTGGTAAAAACTTTTAGTGATTGGAAAAGGAAAACATACTTTATGCAAACATCTATAACCAGAAGCCTATGTTGTGGGGTCAAACTCTCTCTTGGGATAACCTTAAAGCTTTTACATGATGGTCAATCTACCTTCTTAACTTGAAAGAAGTCTATCTAGCTTTTATATAATACACTTTTTAAGTTATTAAATGTTCATCTTGTTTTCTCAAGTAGGTGTTTGCTATTGCTAGGTCGTAAGCCATAGAAAAATCCAAAATAGCCTCACCCATTTCATTTCTTTCCCCAAAACGATATCCCCTATGTACCCTTTCATGTCTCAAAAACAAGATTGAGATTTTTGAAGATTGAAAAATTTCAAACTTTTGGATGTCTTGCAAAATAAAACAACTATCCAAAATTGAAAAGTGTTAAATCCAAAACTTTTTGAAACTTGAGGTGGTTGCTACTGAGGTCTTGTGGCACAAAAAGGTGGTTTGGTTAGTATATTTCATTTCTTGGTTTAAGTTTGGTTATTGTCTATGTGTATTTTCTTTTTTGGCTTTGTATTATTGGCCCTTATTGAAGTGGGGGTTTTATTTTTGATTTTTTTGACATTTTATTAAGATTAAGTAGCTCAATCCTAAAGGAATATGAACTAACTCAAGCATGTTAGATTTCTTCTACTTTATTAGTCCTAGATTGTCCAAAGATTGGAAAAAGGGCAGTAAGTTTATTTTTTGCTATTTTATAGCCCCCTTCTAATTCTTTGGGTGATTGCATTTTAACATTTAATGTAACATTAGTGACCTTTTTTTGCATATTTAGGTAATTGCTATTTTTTTTAGCGATTTCTAGGACGGGTTTTGTTATTGATTCAATACTTGGGTTTGAGTTGTTGCATGTTTGACTGCATAGTTCATCATCATCATCATTCGAGGCTTATCCCAACTATTTAGGGTAGGCTACACAAATCTTGTTCTGTTATTCTGCTCTATCAAGGGCTGTACCCTTAGTAAGATCATAGGTTATCATATCCTTTTTTACTACATCCATCATGTCCTTTTGGGCCTTTCCCTTGCCCTTTTAGAGTCTTCCCACTTGAACCAATTGTACCTCCTAACCAGTGCTGTAGTAAGTTTATAATGCACATGGCCTGCCCACCTAAATCCATTTTTCCTTATCGCCTATTGAAGCCACACCTATCCAATTTGTCTTACTAAGCCTAAGCGCTTGCGCGCTATACCTAACTTATACTAAAAGCGGGCTCCGCGTTCTCTTAGTATGCGTAGGCCGGCCGTTCAGCTCTCTCTTACACGCGGAGCGCCAGACGGCTAGCAACGAAAGAAAGGTTGTCAGTGCCGCGCTAGCAAGTTGATTTTCTCTTACATGCGGAGCCGCTAGAAGCTGAGGGCCCCCTCCAGCTTTTTCACACGGCATGTTGGAGACGGTCAAGAAAAAACTGGAAGGATTTTGAGTGCTGACCCAAAACACAGAGATCGCTCGATATATCATTGAGAAAGAAAAGATCGGTTTCCTCATCAAATAGAGAGAATCGTGTTATTTCAAAAAGAGAGATGCCTTCTCGGTTCCCTTGAATGTATTCATTCCGAATTTTTTCCTTTATTGTCTTGCCATTAATTCATCTTAACATCCTCATCTCAGCTCTTGACCGTCTAACATTCCATCCATAAAGTATGGCTGGTCCTACAACTGTCCTATAGAACTTCCCCTTTAGTTTCATTGGTGTGTGGCGATCACATAAAACTCTAAATGCATATCTCCATTTCACTCACCTGGCTCTAATTCTATGTGCAACATTTTCCTCAATCTCTTCATTCTCCTAGATTATTGATCCAAGGTATCGAAAATAAGCTCTTTTAGGTATTCCTTGGCCATCAATCTTAATTACTTC